AAACATTTGGACCGTTCTTCTTCGTGAGTGTCGAGAAAAAACTTTCGTCACAAGTCATGTGACAACTGGCTCCACTGTCAATAAACCACGACCTGCATGGATTACATCCGACCATAAAGCACACACCACTTCTGTTATTCTTGGCTTGTTTCGCGTTTTATTTCACTTCGGGCCTCTTCCGGTCTTCATCACCTTTCTTCTGATTCGTAAGCAATCAACAATCTCGTCGAAGGTGACCCGGCTTACCACAATGGAAACACTTCCGATCCTGCACGGCACTACTCTGCTTTCCATGTTTCGTTGAACTTTTCATCGCATTCACGTCACTTCTAGAAGCACCACTCTTCTCCTTTCTTCGCTCAAATTCGTCGAGCAACTTCGACTTAACCAAATGCATGGTTAAATCGGCATCCGGCCGACCTTCCAATGCCGTCACTAGACCAGCATAAGAGTCCGGCAAGCTCCGGAGAATCATGGCAATTCGCAACGATTCTTGCAACTCTTGTCCTGCTGTCGTCAATCTATCGAACAGCTCTTCGATCTCCAGGAGATGACGCTCCAGATCACCACACTCAGACAAGTTCAACGAACACAATTTCTTCAGCAACGAAACGCGAGAGGTCATCGTAGACTTTTCGTGGTATGCACGAAGTTGCTCCCAAAATTCTTTCGCGTCTTTCGCACTTTTTACCAGGCTATACTGGCTTTCTTCTACACACAAACCGATAGTTGCACGAGCTTTCTGTTCGTCTTTCTTCCACTGTGCCGTCACCGGCTCCGGTTTCGCGTTGGCAATTGGCAAATCAAAGTTGGCACTCGTGGAGAATAGAAGAACTATAACAGTGATGATGGTTTCAAAATTTTCCACGGGGAAGTATACGAATGCAATCTTAAAATGCTTTTATTTTGCAAATGGAACATTTTATTTAAATCTGGTTGCTGCTACAGTGGTAGAAAAGATCAAATCTATGTGTACACCTAAAAATCTGAAAAGAAATTAATTTTTCTGTATTATTTGTCTATTGAGTAGTCCTTAAGTTTTCTACTAACATAGCATCAACCAGATTTAAATAAAATGTTCCATTTGCAAAATAAAAGCTTTTTAAGATTGCACACGTATACCTCACCGTGTAAAATTTTGAAACCATCATCACTCTCATAGTTCTTCTATTCTCCACGAGTGCCAACTTTGATTTGCCAATAACATACCAGATCTCTCCCCGCATCAACATCATTTCCATGCGGAATTTCCAGCTCTGCCAGTTCTGGTTGTTGAGCTTGGCAAACATAAGTTTGCTCAAATCCGCCATCTTCACACAACCAGTCTTGTAAGCGGTCACGGTAGTCGACACATTTTCTGTGATAAGCGACTGCCTTTGCCTCCGACACTTGCAAAACAAGCTATCATAGTACAGTACCAAACTAAAATGTAATATGACAGGCTCTGTCATATGACACTGTCGCCGAAGACCGTCACGTAGGTATGTATTTTAGTTTTTCTCATATTAAGAGCTGCTGATGTTGTACTTGTGTGAATTCTGAAAATAGCAAGTAATGATGTCCTAGAAATAATATTTCTGATCAGAAATGGTTTGATTTACACCAAATTGAGGAATTACAACGAAATCACACATGTCATATGATAGCTATTTTGATAATTTTCTTTTAGCTCGAATGTTATTCTACCGCTCGTGTTGCGTGAGAGAGACGACGGTAGAGCATGAGTGTACAAACAGACTGTCGCGCACGACATTGAAGCGAGTGTAGTAAAAAACGTCAACTGTTTCAACACCTGCACATAACACAAGAGGCACTCGCGACGCGTAAATAAAACAGACTATATAATCACTTTTTCGCAATATTTTCACCTTCCGGCACTTGCTCTGGGCCCATAACCTGTGGGCGGACAGAAACGGACAGAGTTCTCACGGGGCGCAAGCGGGGACACACGTATTGGCTTCGGAAGGATCAAAAATAAATACGCACGGCACTTCACGGAAGAACAGACGAAACTTTACTATTGTTGTTGTTACGTACACATTAAACATTTAGTGTTGCCAGAAGGGCCGTCATGCACATATAAGTGCCATAGAAGTTTATGTATGGTGAGGGGTAACACAATGTAAATACCTTCAGAATGTACTATCGGAACTCTATTTGAACTTTATGGAACTTGAAAGTTCGGTCAGCTTTATGGAACTTGAAGGTTCGGTCGGGACTTTATTGCAACTTTATGGAACTTGAAGGTTCTGTCGGAACTTAATTGCAACTTTATGGAACTTGGAAGTGAGTTTTATCCTTGAATGCGGAACTTTTGGTTACTTGGGTACATGCATCAAGTGGAGCCCCAAAAGAATGGAGAAAAACTCCCGGTCCGGATGGAATCTCCAGGGCATGTTCAGGATGGTGCTGCAGAAATGCCTGGATTAGGGTCACTTCCCTGACAGGTGGAAGATTCAGAAGCTAGTGTTGCTGCCGAAACCAAGAAAACCGCCGCGGGATCCAGCATCGTATAGGCTTATATGCCTGCTAGATACACCCGGAAAACTCTTGGAGAGGATCATCCAAAACAGGCTGACGAAATGCATGGAGAGTGGGCACGGATTGTCGCAGAAGCAGTTCAGATTCCGGAAAAGGAGATCAACGTTGGATGCAATTCGGATAGTGGTCGAGAGGGCCGAGAAGGCGTCCAAACAGCTGGGAGGCCATCGCCGAAGCGCTGCATAAAAAGAGGGTCCCTGACTACCTGTACAGGATCCTTAGGAGTTACTTCCAGAACCGGTTTTTGGTCTACGATACAGACACGGGACGGGAGAAGATTCTAAAGAAGCTTCTTAAGAAGATTCTTAAGAAGCCTCTTAAGAAAATTCTAAAAGAAGCTTCCAGAACAAATTTATTAAGAACATTCTAAAAGAAGCTTCGTTTGGAACCTCATTCTAGACGCTTGTCCGTCGCTCCGCTTGTCGGACTAAAATAAGCACGGGCATGATAGTAAATCTGGGTAGCTAGATCATAAGGAGTGTTTCATCGTTTTAATATTACGTTTCCATAGCTGCCCATTTGTGAATGCCTAGGGGTAAGACAGCTCCTAATCATGAGCGATTTCTGAGTTGCTTTTGATGCACCTCGAGTAACTCACATTGCTCAGTGAGAAAGATCACTGTAATTTGCTTCTCACTTTTCGCATCACAGCAACATATGAAGGCTCCTTCATGCGAAGCCGAAAAGCTGCTGTCAATCAAAACAACAATAAAAAAACATGTTTTCAGAACTCAATAACTCAGCGAAACTCGGAGATACTTAAATTGATTGATTTGATTATCCTGCATCATCTCTGCCTAATAACCTTCGTTCAAGCCTTACCAACTGTGAACGTGATCGGAACCTATTGCTGCCTAGCTGCCTTACACTCGATGTGCCTGACCAAATACTCAAAATCCGCCAAAGTACGTATCCGCACGTACTTCAATACTCGTCGAAACAATCCCGTTCCCATGGCTGGGCAAACTGCCGCTGCATGAAACTGCGAACCGAGCTCTGAATTACCACTGTGCCGTTCTACCAACAATCAATACGAAACTAACGATTTTAAATTGGCTCACTACTTGACTAGCGTATTGGTTCCAAGCAAACGATTAACGTACCCCATTCTAGTCGAAATTCTAGTACTACGCAATGTTTGTTTTGATTCGCTATGAAAGTTTGACAGATAAAATGAGGGGTTAGTGGTTTTTCCTATGTTTCGAGGGGTGAATCGATTAGCTTGGGACCGAAGAGAGTACCAGAGCTGAGCCAAAAAGTTGAGCACGTTTCTTCGGGACCATCTGGTCTTAGAGTTACCTCTATGGTTCTACTGACGGTGGACATCCATCATGCCTCTTTTGGTGCTTCTGCTGTGCCTTCCGGATGATCGTGATACGGTCCCATCTCTGCGATACACCACCGTGATTTTGCTGCGGCCATCGACGGCAGTCTCCTATAAAGTAGATCATCACTACATACGTGTGTTCTTCGGTTTCTCGTTGGCTAAGTCCATAGCGGCCCAGGTGTAGAATTTGTTGGACTGCTGTTACGACTACTGGATCAATCGATGCTGATAGGTGAAATTCCAGATGCAATTTGCATTATAGGTGAAATTCCAGATGTTTAGAAGAATAGCTGTTTGGAAAGCTTGTTTGATCAGCGATGATCCTTTTGAAGTGACCACTGGAATTGGTTGCTGAGGAAGAAGCACAACTGCTGAAAGATGGCTAGAACTGTAAGTTGTTGCTGGTAGTAAGCAGGCGCCAGCACAGATTCTTCCATAATATTCAAGCTATTCGAAAGCCTCAGGATACACTTGGGCTTACTTTGTTTACAAACAAAACTGACGTCTAAGATGAGAGCTAACGGAGTAAGCAGAGAAAAAAAAAATCGATGAACGTTGATTAAATATTGAGGTACATTGAGTTACTCGCGAGTTACTCGCTGCAAAAAAAGCAACTCAGAGTAAACCTGTCTCACCCCTTGGTGAATGCTTAATATCGTCAGTTCAGAGTAAAATAAGCATCCTGCGCAATCTTATTTTACAACCGCAGCCTTGATAGCTTAGTTCTCAGGGGTTTTTCTCGGGATTTTCTGAGGGGAAAATTCTCTAGCTACGGAAGGTAATACTCATTACAGTTACGGAAGGTTCACATTACAGTCTATATCACGTAATATAGACTGTCTTGAAATGAGCACTCATTGCAAGACAGCGTATACCACATGATATACGCTGTAATGTGAAAGGGGTATAAGTAAAACCGATTTTGGGCCTTGCCCATGTGTTGATAAGTACGTTATCTAGGGGTCCAGGTGTGGCGTCTCCTCCCTCGCGTCGGTGATTGGCATTCCCTTGTGGAACATAACACGACGATTAAAAAAAAAATCAGTTTAAATTCACCAAATATTTGAATAACTATGCAGGCTTTCGGACAAAATGAACCTCGACATTCGTGTTAAACAGTTTCAGTGGCAAATATCATTCATAAAAATAGCAATACAGTAGGCAAAAAAAAAAATAAAAATTCATCCTAGATTCACTCTAATAACACTTGCTGCTGTTGCGATTGGAGATATATACGATGTAAGTTGTTCCAATTAATCTATCTAAAGTCAATAACGATAAGAGAGATAGTGCGATTTGGGAATGTCCGTATGCGTCAGACTTGTCTCTGTTGACCAACTTAACTCTATAATACAATGAACCGAAATCGTTATACACCTAGATAAATTACGGCAACACTGTGGCTAATGAAACCTATTACTTTCTGAAATTAACCTACAACCTATTGTTCACACTTTTTTTTTTTTAATTATTCCGGCAAGATTAGTTCCATCACTGCTGCTTCTGCTCGACCGTCTTGAGCTTTTCCTCCAGCGCGGCCGTCCGCTTGCTCATCTCGACGTAGTTCTGCTGCAACTGGCGCTGGTAGATCAGTACCTTCTCCTTCTCGTCAGCCCACTTGAGCCGCTCTTGTTCGAATTCGGTCCTGGAGTCCTGCAGTTCTTTGCGGAGTCGCGTAATTTGCAGGTCCTTGTCTCCTTCTCCGGACGCCAGTTTCTTATCACAGCCTGCGGCTTCTTTCGCTCTCTCGGGAGCTGGAGCCACCTTATCCGTAAGCGCACGAACCTCATCCTCTTCGTCCTCCTCCTCTTCCTGATCCCGGGTCGGGGTCATGGATTTGTAGTCATCGTCCGACGACGGCGACGCCGAATTCTGGTTGTAACTGCTGGGAGGTTCTTTGAAATCGGGATCCTGATTGGGAGGCTTACCCGTGGACACGACAATGCTGCTCAGGTCCAACGTGATATCCGGGAGCTTCTTGGCGTTGTAGTTCTCGATGATGCTGGACTTGTCCTCGTCCGAGTAGTTGCAGATTTGGGTGTTGAGGAAGAGCTTCTTGTTCACCTCCAGCTTGTTGTTGAAGTAGTTCCGGATGAGGTCGCTACTGCTGAGATCACCACCACCGGTCTTCTTGGTGAGGTCGGCGACTCCCGAGTCGGCCGAGTTTTTCGGAGTGCCTCCGGTGATTTTACTGTTGGTGTTGTTGTTGCTGTCGCTTTTGGCGGCCGACTCTTCGAACTTTTGCGTCACGTACTCTAGCTTCTTCTTGTAGCGAGAGTAGCGTCCGGACGGTACGCCTTCGTAGCCTCGCATAATCGAAATGTCAGACAGTTCCTTGCGTAACTTCTGGATTTCGTTGTTCATCACCACGATGATCTGATCCTTGAAGATGATGATGCGGTTCAGCTGGGAAATCTCCAGATCGAAGTCGAGCTCTTTCGTTATCTGAAAAGGGGCGAGTGGATGGAGTTCGATCAAGCTGATTGGTTTTGAGGGGAACTTCCGATGGATAGTTAGGGGAATATTTAGCTAGGAGAACACCTTCCATGAAACGTTTTCATCTGACCTCAGATAACCTTGTCTTTCACAAGAAAGGTTCGAGGAACTTTCAGAAGAATTTCAGGAAACTTCACGTGAGCTCGAAGCACAACAGGAAACATAATGAGAATTGCAGGAGAAGTTCTGGGAACTTTCTAAACAGTTTAAGAAACTTCTGGTGGAGTTCTGGAAACTTCCAGAGAAGTTCTGGGTACTAAGTTCCGAAAAATTCTGTAAGAAGTTTTAGGAAATTCTGGGAACTTCTGGATGAAAATCGGAAAAAATTCTGAAAGAAGATTAAGGAAATTTTGGGAACTTCTGGGAGAAGATCTAGGAAATTCTGGAAGAAGTTCTGAAAACATCTGGGAGACGTTCTGAAAAATTCTGGGAAAAGTTCTTGAAACTTCTGGGATAAGTTGGTGCATCTTCTGGGAAAAGTTCTTGCAACTTCTGGGAGAACTACTTGGAAATTCTGGGAGAACTACTTGGAAATTCTGGGATAAGTTCATGCAACTTCTAGAAGAAGTTCTTGCAACTTCTGGGAGTAGTTCTTGCAACTTCTACGAGTAGTTCTTGCAACTTTTCGGAGAAGTTCTTGAAACTTCTGCGAGAAGTTCTTGGAAGTTCTGGGAGAAGTTCTTGCAACTATTGGGAGAAGTTCTTGCAACTTCTGGGAGAAGTTCTTGCAACTTCTGGGAGAAGCTCTGGCAACTTCTGGGCGAAGCACTTGCAACTTCTGGAAGAAGTTCTTGAGACTTCTGGAAGAAGTTCTTGCAACTTCTAGAAGATTTTTTTGAAACTTCTGGGAGAAGTTTTTGCAACTTCTGGAAGAAATTCTTGCAACTTCTAGGAGAAGTTTTTGCAACAACTGGGAGAAGTTTTTTTTAACTTCTGGGAGAAGTTTTTGCAATTACTGGGATAAGTTTTTGCAACTTCTGGGATAAGTTTTTGCAACTTCCGGAAGAAGTTTTTCCAACTTTTGAGAGAAGTTCTTGCAACTTCTTGGAGAAGTCTTCGAAAGGGAACTTCTGGATGAAAATTGGAAAAATTCTGAAAGAAGATTAAGGGAATTTTGGGAACTTCTGGGAGAAGATCTAGGAAATTCTGGAAGAAGTTCTGGGAACATCTGGGAGACATTCTGAAAAATTCTGGGAGAAGTTCTTGCAACTTCTGGGATAAGTTGGTGCATCTTCTGGGAGAAGTTCTTGCAACTTCTGGGAGAACTACTTGGAAATTCTGGGAGTACTACTTGTAAATTCTGGGATAAGTTCATGCAACTTCTAGAAGAAGTTCTTGCAACTTCTGGGAGTAGTTCTTGAAACTTCTCGGTAAAGTTCTTGCACCTTCTGGGAGAAGTTCTTGCAACTTCTGGGAGAAGCTCTGGCAACTTCTGGGCGAAGCGCTTGCAACTTCTGGGCGAAGCGCTTGCAAATTCTGGGCGAAGCGCTTGCAAATTCTGGAAGAAGTTATTGCAACTTCTAGAAGAATTTTTTGCAACTTCTGGGAGAAGTTTTTGCAACTTCTGGGCGAAGCGCTTGCAACTTCTGGGCGAAGCGCTTGCAACTTCAGGAAGAAGTTCTTGAGACTTCTGGAAGAAGTTCTTGCAACTTCTAGAAGAATTTTTTGCAACTTCTGGAAGAAATTCTTGCAAATTCTAGGAGAAGTTTTTGCAACAACTGGGAGAAGTTTTTTCAACTTATGGGAGAAGTTTTTGCAACTTCTGGGAGAAGTTTTTGCAACTTCCGGAAGAAGTTTTTGCAACTTTTGGGAGAAGTTCTTGCAACTTCTTGGAGAAGTCTTCGAAAGGGAACTTCTGGATGAAAATCGGAAAAATTCTGAAAGAAGATTAAGCGAATTTTGGGAACTTCTGGGAGAAGATCTAGGAAATTCTAGAAGAAGTTCTGGGAACATCTGGGAGACGTTCTGAAAAATTCTGGAGAAGTTCTTGCAACTTCTGGGATAAGTTGGTGCATCTTCTGGGAGAAGTTCTTGCAACTTCTGGGAGAACTACTTGTAAATTCTGGGATAAGTTCATGCAACTTCTAGAAGAAGTTCTTGCATCTTCTAGAAGAAGTTCTTGCAACTTCTGGGAGTAGTTCTTGAAACTTCTCGGAAAAGTTCTTGCACCTTCTGGGAGAAGTTCTTGAAACTTCTGGAAGAAGATCTTGCACCTTCTGGGAGAAGTTCTTGCAACTTCTGGGAGAAGCTCTTGCAACTTCTGGGAGAAGCTCTGGCAACTTCTGGGTGAAGCGCTTGCAACTTCTGGGAGAAGTTTTTGCAACTTCTGGGAGAAATTCTTGCAACTTCTAGGAGAACTTTTTGCAACTTCTGTGAGAAGTTTTTGCAACTTCCGGGAGAAGTTTTTGCAACTTCTGGGAGAAGTTTTTGCAACTTCTGGGTGAAATAATTGCAACTTCTGGGAGAAGTTTGTGCAACTTCTGTGAGAAGTTCTTGCAATTTGCTGGGCAAACCGCTTGCAACTTCTGGAAGAAGTTTTTGCAACTTCTAGAAGAATTTTTTGCAACTTCTGGGAGAAGTTTTTGCAACTTCTGGGAGAAATTCTTGCAACTTCTAGGAGAAGTTTTCAACTACTGGGAGAAGTATTTTCAACTTCTGGGAGAAGTTTTGGCAACTTCCGGGAGAAGTTTTTGCAACTTCTGGGAGAAGTTCTTGCAACTTCTTGGAGAAGTCCTTGCAACTTCTGAAAGAAGTTCTTTGAGCTCCTAGGAGAAATTCTCGGAACTTCTGGAGTTTTGATAACTTCTGAAAAAGATCTGGGAGCTTCTGGAAAAGTTCATGGAATTTCTGTGAAAAGTTCTGGCAATTTCAGGAAAAGTTCTTGGAATTTCTAGGGAAAGTTCTGCAAACTTCTGGAAATGTTCTGTGAAATTTAGGGAGAAGTTGTGGGACCTTCTGATAGAAGCTCTGCGAAATTCTGGGAGAAGTTCTTGGAATTTCTGGGAGTAGTTCTTGGACCTTCTGTGAAAGTACTTGAAATATCTGAAAAAATATCTCGGTACTTCTGGGAAAATTTTTTGGAACAGCTGGGAAATGTTTTAGGAACTTCTGGGAAAAGTTCTTGGAACTTCTGGAAGAAGTTCTGTGAGCTCCTAGGAGAAATTCAGAACTTCTGGAAATGTCCTGGAAAAGTCTGGAAGAACTTCTAGAACATTTTGGGAGACGTTCTGAGAACTTCTGCAAGAAGTTTGCGGAACTTCTGGGAGTAATTCTGGATACTTCTGGAAAAAGTCCTGGGATCTTATGGATAAAGTTCTGGGAAGATTAGAGAAGTTTTGAGAAGATCGTGGAGAAGTTCTGAGAAGATCTTAAAGAATTTCTCGGAACTTCTGAGAGAAGTTCTGGGATCTTCTGGGAGAAGCTCCGGGAAATTGGGAAGTTTTGGGAACATCTGGGAGACTTTCTGAGAGAAGAACTGGGAAATGATCTGGGAGATGTTCCGGGAACTTCAACACAAGTCCGGGGAACTTCAGCACAAGATCCGGAATTTCAGCGCAAGCTCCAGAAATTTCAACCCAAGTTCCGAGAGCTTCAACAGAAGTCCCGGATCTGAAATCACCATGTGCCACTTACCTCAGATTTCTTCAAACTGATATCGTCGTAGCTCTGCAACTTAATGTCCGATCGCAACTGCAGAATCTCCTGGTCCTTTGTAGTCGCCTCCGCCTAAAAGTTGCCAAATGTTAATTTCTGTTAACCTTGAATCGCAGAACTTCCACCTACCTGAGCGTCCTTGAGTTGTGACTTCATCAGTGCCACTTCACCATTCCGTTGGCAGAGACTCCACTCGCTTTCTTCGAGCCGTTCCTTCAGATCGCTGACCACTCGCCGCAGCATTTGAATTTCGTCCATCAGGTCGGCGTTCTGTTCCTTGAGATCCTTTTCGCCAAGCTTGAGGTGACAGATTTCCGTCTTCTGGTGTTCGGCTTGTTCCTTGGCCAGCGTGAAATCCGAATGCAGCCGGTTAATGTCCTCTTGTAGACGTTTCTTGTCCTGCCGCAGCTGAAACGTCTGCATCATCAGCAGTTGCTCCAGTTTGTGCACCTTCTGCGCTCCGGCCCGGAGTCGACCTTCGTGGATCGATTTCAAGCGATTCAGTTCCTGTTCCCAGTGTTTTTCCTTGTCCTGTGGAAGAAGTGCAAGGAAGATTGTCGGGTAGTACAGCTCTGTGAACACCTTCAGCGGTGGTTCAGTAGCATAGAATGAAGTCGATAGGATAGGTAAGAGAAATGAGAGGCTGACAGACGAAACCAGAAAATGAAGCACACACAAACGAATATAGAGATATTGCAGGACAATAGACCCAAAAACCCAAGATGACTATCAAGTTTCCAGGGATAGTTGTTCCACAAAGCGATCGATTTTGACAGATTAGTCCAGCCGCTCATAAGGCGTTACCAACCTGATGAACTTTGAATATTACTTGCTCATTGTGCTCCATGGTTTGCCGAAGGTAGGCCAGTTCGGAGTCGCGATCGCGCAGGGCCGCTTCCAGCTCGGAGATGCCCGAATCCGACGGGGACGGAGCCATGTCCAGGAGGTCGTGCGGTGCATACAGGCCCGCTGATTGGCTGAAATTCAGAATCGATCCCGTGTTGGATTATAGAGTTTACATTTCGATCGGAAGTCCGAAGACAGCTTACCTGGTACTGGGATTCGGGTACGACGCAATCATACTGTCCGGCAGCTTCAGAATCGACTCCAAGCTATCGTACGTCTTGAACGGAATGGCCGAACTTTTCCGCAGAAGCGTTCCGTATTGCTGCGAGTAGGACCCACTGGACGGACCGCTGGCGGCGCTGGGGGTTGCAGCCCCACCGGAGTTTGCACCCAGAAGCTGATGCCCGTGATGGTGATGGTGGTGGTGGTGCAGATCGGTCGTACTGCCGAACTTGTACTGGATGCTAAGGGGAGCTCCGAGCGAAGGCGTAGAACCGAAACGCTCGCCGAGGTCCGTTAGCCGACCACCGGCTCCAGCACCGACGCTGCTGCTACTGCTGCAGCCGACGCCGCTGCCACTGCTACTGGTGTAATTTGGTGTGTTACATTTGTAAGGAACTGGTTTGAATGCGATTGGACGGATCACCTGTTTGCCCTGGAACGGAAATGGGGGGGAGAAAAGGGTGATGGTTAGCTGAGATACTGGGTGGATTAAATGATAGATTTGGAACCAGACTTCGGAACAACCGAAAACTCACCTTCCCGAGGATCCCACTGCAGGACTGAATCTTGGGCGGTTTATCGTCCGCGGACAGTGATCCGCCTCCCATGGCTGCGTGCTGCGCTGTCGGTGTCTCATGCCCCAAGGAGGATGCCGTCGCCGCTGTCACTAATCCGTTGATCTTGGCCATGGCCGATCCGGATCCCGTCCCCACCCTGCTGTTGTAGGCATTTTTGCTATTATTCTTCTCGAAAATCTCCCGAATGTTCTCAAAGTGTGCCTTCCGTATGGTACTCTCGTTAATCGACATCGTCGACGAGTGCTCCTTGCCGACGGCTCCGATCAGCGAACTACAACCGCTGCTGTTGGCAACACTGGCATTGTGGAGGCTCTGCTTGCTGAGAAAGTCCGATATCCGTTTCTGCTCCCGTCGGGACTTGAGCGTTCCGGTAAAGTTGGTTTGTACTAAGCTGAGGGAGCACTTGCCACCGCTTCCGGTTGCGAAAGGGTTGTTCTCCAGCGAGGACGATCGGTAGTGGCCCTTCGGGCGCATGGGCGTCTTGTAGGCAGGACCTATCGACGGAGAGGGCGTGATCACGAGGGATGACGGAGCAGCGCTGCTGCTGAGGCCTCCGCCGCCACCATGACTCGACGATTCCATGGCATTTAGTCTGAAAAGAGAGTGGAGAATGTTTTGGATTAGTGATCGTTGAACGGGAGTTGGTTGATTTGCTTCAGATTAGCTGATAAGTTAAATTTAAAAGAAACAGATTTCCTGTAATCAGCTGACGAAGATCGTTGACTCGCGATTAGAGCAATCGATCATCGAAAATCACCGTTTTTTTCAGTTGCACTTGAGCGATGGCACCGATCAGCTCGCAATCGCTGCTGCTAGTTGCTGTTTTCCTAGTCTCACCAACCTACTCCAACGATACAAATCTACCGAGGCGATGGCAATCGTCCGAAGCAGACTCAACGACGACCTTCCCGGTCCGTTTTGATGCCCGTGACCAGTGGCCTACGTGCGACACAATCGGGAAGGTTCAGGATCAAGGATGCTGTTTCGCCAGCTACACGATCGCGCCCACTTCGGTGATAACCGATCGATCGTGCATCAAATCAAACGAGACGACCACGACGTCGATCTACAGTGCCTTTCATCCGTTGGTTTGCTGCACGGATTGTTCACATTCTACGCAGCATCCTTGCCTGGGTGGAAATCCTCAGAAGGTTTGGGACTACTGGACTACGCATGGGGTCGCTTCGGAAGGTTGTCTACCGTATCCGATGAAAACGCTGTGCGATGGTGAACTGGTGTGTTCAGCGACCTGTCGATCGGGATTGGATGAATCAGTGAGCTTGGAATTGACGAAGGGTTCCCGTAGTTACCGAGTACCGTCGGGTATTTCCGATATTCAGATGGAAATGCTGGAGTATGGACCGGTACAAACGACGATTCAACTGTACGAGGACTTCATGACCTACCGGGGAGGCGTCTACCAGCATGAGTGGGGAAAGTTGATTGGTGAGCAGCACGTTAAGCTGATTGGGTGGGGTTTCGATTCCAGTGGCGATTTCTGGACCGGAGTAAACAGCTTCGGTACGGGCTGGGGAGAGAATGGACTATTCCGGATCATCCGAGGATACGATCACCTGGGAGTTGAATCGAATGTAATTGCAGGACTGCCATAACGCATGTACACATTCTAAACAGACAATAAATTCATTAAATCACCCGATTATGCAACCTCATATCCCACCCATAGCGAAGCGACTGGTCTGGCACGGCTCTCACTTCGCGTCGGTCTGAGGCAAGGTTCAGCGACTGTGATCAGCAAGTTCTCACGCTCCGCAACTCCATTTGAATGTGATGCAGGCAGGCCTCTATCTATCTGAGCTTGTGTACGTTTCATATTCCAAAACAAAACCGATCCACCGAACGAACGGATCCGTCATCAATGGTTGTGTCGTTGTTGTTGTTGTTGTTGGGTATGGAACTCCAGCCCAGCACCAGACGTAATTTATTTTATTGCCTGGCAGCTATATGTTGTTTTGCTCTGTCCAGTCCTGCCGTCCTGTGTGTGTGATGGGTGCGAGATGCCCGCCGCAGTTCAACAACAAAAACAAAGCAGGCCAGGCTTCAACGTTCGCTCAATCGCAGGCGCAGGAGGCGAGAAAATGTGCAAACGCATTCATTCATCTCTCTTGGTTCGTGGGGTCTGCAACAAATTGCACGACCCAAGATCCAAGTAGGTAGGCAGGTAGGCAACCCTGGGGGCACATGGATGGATTATAATGTGGCTGCAGCCTAACTTAATTATAGGATTCGCAGGGATGGTGGTAGACTGCTAATTTTAAACGGTTTCGCTCGGTTTTGTTATTTGCGTTATATTTTTTTTTTCGGGCAACAAAGTGCCAATTAGAGCTTGCATGCAAGTCGGGAGCGATTGTGACATTTCTAGTTCTGCATGCGCGCACCGGCTGATCAAATAATCCATAAATATATTTACATTGCACATTGCGGCGGTGGCGGTGGCTTCGGCGGCATCAAAATGACAATGGCAGTTGGCCTTGAACCGCGACGCCGTCGAGCCGCCGCCACTACTGCTCTGGGTTGACCGAAATGAACACGTGTGCCCTGAGATCGCTCAGCCTGCTATGTGCAACGGATGCTGGTAAGCCGCAAACGGGTTGGAACACTTATTGGAAATTGGTTTCCAATCGGATCGATATGGCCAGCCGGAGGCGACAACATGGTTGAGTCTCTTGCGATGACTAGTGCTGGGTACGAGACGCCGACGACGACAGTGCAGCGGCATGTGTGAGTCAGCTGTTTGCACTTTATTTTTATTTTTTGGTTTTGTTGATTTGTGCAATGTTTTGCTTAAGCAATGTCAACTTGGAAAGGGAGTAGAATCGATGGTAAAATAAATAATTTAGTGAGATTCTATTTTTATTACTCTTCTTGGGACTTGGGAGTAATAATAATCCGTGTTTATCCTGTTGCCCATCAGACAAAAAATGGTATTTAAATCTGTAATCTGTGATAGGGAAATCAACTGGCGCTGACGTCAGACTGTGCGTGACATATGGCGCTCTTTGTACTATCTCTTCACTCCATTGAAAATTCCCATACGATACTGTCAATTTTTGCTAAAAGAGACGATTTTTCAACGGTGCCGTGACCATTGAACTGGGAAATAGCGAAAACCGGGAAATGCCCGTGAATTTCGATGACAAATCGCAAAAAAAAATAAGATTATGGACTAATATCAAGACCCTTGGGATGAGTTTTCAGAAAACAGACTTGATGAACTAAATATTAAGAGAATTTTGAAGCATCCAGCAGCAAGGTAAACCGATTTCCTAACCGATTTCACTATTCAATATTGTCCTATGTATGATTTGACTGATTTTAATTTTATGTCATTGGCCGCTCTGAGAGCCTACTAAGAATTTTTTAGAGCTTCAGAGAGGTTCGGAGATCTGCTGAGAAATTTGTTGAGCTTCAGCGTAGTTCGTAGATCTTGTTACGTTTAGTATGAAGGCGAAATTTAAAGTTAAATTTTGCGAACTACAAGTAAGATTTTGTTCCGTGTAGCAACACAACCATTATATCAAAAAGTCCAAACCCCCTCGAGGCTTGAAAACAAAAGCGCACTAGAAATTGCCTCATCGCCTGTGCTGATCACCGAGCGCGTGACCGTTTTCTGTAGGAGACACAAAGGAGGAGAAAAATCCAGCAGCAGAACGTGCGTCGGTCAGGATTATCAAAACAACAGATAAATCTATTTTTCTACAGATTTTTCAGAATTTTTACAACCAAGATTCTGTATTCACAGATTACAGATTTCTAGGATTTTAACAGATTGCACAGATTTTTAAAATATGAGCCAACATTTTAAAAATTAAACTTGAGATGTTTAATGAAAAAACATAATTTGCACTTCAGTGTAATTTTATCATCACCAACTTTTATATCTATGCATGCTTTTTTGCGGAATGAAAAAAGAAAACGAGAACTGTCAGAGGTATTCTTTTTTGCCAAACCATAGGTAATTTATTATACATATATTTTTTATCTATTTTCGTCTTTGTTAGAAAAATGACTCAATCACTTTTCAAAGGACATTTTTGAAGGATTCAATTAATAAATTATCAACACAGATATCATCACAGATTTTCTGGACAAAAACTAAGACGCAAAGATTTTTTTAGACAAAAACACAGATTTCCTTTTGGCAACCCTGACGTTGGTTCGAAGCGTGACGGTGGTGTTTTTCCCCGTTGAAATACGATTTTTTCTACCTTTGCGGTGCTTGGCGTGTGTACGGGGAAAAATAGTGCGTTTCGCGGCAAAACCAGTGCCGAATCGAGTATTTCGACGGAACCATCGGTGCGAGAGTGGCCAGGGAGCGAACCGCCAGCGATTGCCCGAATTACGACGTGCGGGACCGTTTGCGGTGGCAAAAGAAAATACGAGAGTAGAAAATCCAGCAAGAACGTTCATCGGTTCGGAGTGTGACGGTGCAATCTTCCCTCCAAGTGCATTCGTCTGGCTATTGCGGTGATCAATTCGTCACGGAAAAACTAAAGCGTTCTGCGGGAGAAAGAGCCGCTGCCGGATTGGAAATTCCGAGGGAATCATCGGAGCGGTAGTGACCAGTGAGCAAATCTCCACCCGATCGCTCGAGACACGGATCGTCTGGAAAACAAGCGCGACCGGACAGAGATCTTCCGCGGAGACGAAGAAAACTAATCCGCCGATTGGTCATCGCAGACGCCAGGAAATAAACTCGGGAGGCAGCCTCCAGGCACGTGGATTGAATCTGGCCGAATACCTGTGTTAGTCTTTTCTCTTGTAAGGCTCACTGACAGCTCTTCAACGCCCTGATGCCTCGTCTACAGGCCACACTGAAGAACATCTCCGTCCAGCGAAAACGAGATCCACGAAGAGGTTTATCGGAGAAACAAAAGGCCCCGTTAAGGGTAAGTTGGCTGACATTGAGCAAGGAAAGACTGGAGTACTAAAACTCGTTGTTCCACAGGTTCTTAATGGGAACCTCAAGTCTTACGGCGAACCTCAAGGCGATCGTAAAGGTGGTTCTTGATACGAGAACCACTGGATCTTCGGTGCGAAACTTCCAAAATATTGGCGTTGCAAGCCACACCGGGACATTGCGTCGGTGGACCGGGATCAACGGTCGGCACGATCGAGAGATTCCTAGACGGAGTCCGAGGACGAATCCTGCTGCGCATTTGTGTGGAAGCTGTAGAGAATTTCGGAACGTGGTCCTAGAACGGGTTTTACCATTCGGCGAGAGGTCGCATGCGGGGACGAGATGACGTTGTTAACCCATCACGAAGCCGGTGTGGCACCAAGCGGCGGTGAGCACGTTCCTTTTTGTTACCTTGTAAGCACTTTGATTTAGGAGAGTCAGTAGGGCATAAGCTCAGGAATATTCCACTACAATTGTAGAATGTTGGGGAGAAATATGAATTGGACTTAATATTAAAGGGCGAACACGAAATTATTGTGACACATTCAACAGGGCATAACTTTTTTACCATTGGGTAAAAATCAACCAAATTTTGCACACTTTCTCATTGATGTGTATTGTGTACATGCTGTCAAACTCGAAGTCGTGTTTTTCGATTCAACGAAAATGGAGGTGAACCAACGCGAGTTGAGAGAACAAATTCTTTCCAAACACCTGGAATTTCCTGACCTGTCGCACCGGCAGTTGGGAAAAATGTATAACATTCACCATTCAACCGTCTCCAAAGTGTTGAAGCGGTTCCAGGAGCGGTTGACGTTGGACCACGGCAAAGGAGCTGGAAGAAAACCGGGACCGGAGAACAAAAAGACGGAGGGAAAGGTGAAGCGGATGATTAAAGCAAATCCCAACGTCTCAAGCCGTGATTTGGCTAAAAAGATCGGCATGTCGCAGAGCTACGTCCAGAATGCAAAGAAGAGAGCTGGATTACATACATACAAGGTACAGAACTTCCCAAACCGCGATGAGCGGCAACAATCGACGGCTAAAACTCGGGCACGGAAGCTCTACGAGAAGATGCTGACAAAATATGGCTGCTGTGTGATGGACGACGAAACGTATATAAAAGCCGATTTTAAGCAAATTCCGGGGTTGGAGTTTTTCACCGGCAAGAGCAAGTTCGATGTGGACGACAAATTTAAGAAGAAGAAAATGTCGAAGTTCGCCTCCAAATATCTCATTTGGCAGGCCATCTGCTCTTGCGGACTGAGGAGTGAGCCTTTCGTGACAAAGGGCACAGTAAATGGCGAGATCTACAAATCTGAGTGCCTCGAGAAGCGCCTTTTGCCGTTCTTGCAGCAGCACGACGAAGCTCCGCTATTTTGGCCAGATTTGGCATCATGCCACTATTCTAAAAGTGTCCTGGAGTGGTATGAGGCCAATTCTGTCCATTTTGTTCCAAAGGACATGAATCCGCCAAACTGTCCGGAGCTGTGTCCGGTGGAGCAGTACTGGGCAATAATGAAGCGGGAACTTCGGAAGAGCAAGAAGACAGTCAAAGACGAGAAGGACATGTTAAGAAAATGGAAAAAAAAACTGAGAAACTGGTACCGGATGACACTGTAAAGACTTTGATGGAGGGCATCAAGCGAAAATGCGTTCAATTTTACACTCAAGGCTCCATCGATTAATTTTTCTTTTGATTTTTGAAGTAAATATATGTATAAAACTACCCTAAAATTTTGGTTTGATTCTA